ATGGATACCCTATCTTATAAAGTTGAGGATTTTGAGTGAATTTGGTGTAACCGGGTGGATACCCAAAAATAGATACCCTATCTCTTAGAGTTGAGGATTCTGAGTGAATTTGGTGCGGCGGGGTGGATAGCCAAATGGGTACCCTATTTTTCAGAGTTGAGGATTTTGAGTGACTTTGCTGTAATAAGACGGATACCCAATCCTCAGATAGTGAGGAGTTTGAATGAGTTTGAACCAACGATGTGACAATGATGCAAAGTACGTTTGCATGATTCTACAAAACTGTTTGCTCTATGCAATAGTCAACAGAAAAAATATTGTAGTAGAAAGAGAATCTTCTCCAACGACAAAACAGAAGCTTATTACTTTTATCTATGATAAGAAAATGCATTTAATAACCGATTTCGCATCTCACTGTCGCAAAACTTTAATGAATCTTTTCAAGTTCTTTGGAACTGTTTATTTTTTTTCCATCCCCTTACCTAACTTCGACCGGATTCTATCGTCAAAACATAGAACATTGAACATAGACCAAGTCTTTAATGACTTCAGCAGCTGATTCCTTACGATGTTTGTGTAGTTTTTTCTTTGGACGATCCTCGGTCCTAGTTTTTGATGTTACGTCACTTCTTACACATCTCATCTTCTGTCATGATCCCAGAGGGAAATTCAAGTGCGCGTGTAGATGTCCGACTACCAGTGCCACCGAGGCACGGACGCACCAGATAATATACGCCAAGTAACGTGTCCACTGTGGGTGCCAAGAGAGGACTAACACAGTGATCAATACACTCACCACACAGCATCTGCTGTGGGTGCCAAGAGAGGAATAACACAGCGATCAATACACCCACCATACAACACCTGCTGTGGGTGCCCAGAGAGGACTAACACAGTGTTCAATACATCCACCACACAACACCTGCTGTGGGTGCCAAGAAAGGACTAACACAGTGGTCAAGACACCCACAACACTGCACCTACTGTGGGTACCACGAAAGAACCCACTTGGTGGACTTAACAAATTGTTAACCACCCGAGGTTGCTCCCACGATGTGACTCAACTCGGTGCCGCTACACCAATGCACAAAACTTAGTGCGGGTGGCGCGAAAGGGCTCGCAAAAGGCCAAACACCAATTCCACAGCATCTTATGTGGATGCACCAGAACGATTGGCACCCGACACAACACACGCACATCAGCACACATGATGTGGGTGACCAATAAGCGTGCCAACGCGACAACACATACGCACGCTATTCCATCTTGAATACCCTCTCCCTGTTTAACGAGAAAAAAACCACTAAGGTACCCATTTGGCTATCCATCACATTACGCCAAATTCACTCAAAATCCTCAACTTTATAAGATAGGATATCCATTTTGGGTATCCACCCCGTTACACCAAATTCACTCAAAATCCTCAACTTTATAAGATAGGGTATCCATTTTGGGTATCCACCCC